ACTGGTTAAAAATTGTTGAAAACCCCTGCCTTAGAAAGCATGTGTATGTAGTCTAATGCACTATTCCATTCAGCTTCTCTGAGTGTGTGTGTGCACGTGGGTAGATCACAGAACCTGCCTTGGGGTCACTCACATGGTAATAGTTCCCCTTTGTGCATGTACTTACGGGGTTATGGCCTTACAGTATGTACAGTGCAGCAGGGCAGAAAACACACATTTCATACGTTCCTAACTGGAGATTCAAGCCCACTTTTCTCCAAATATTCAAAAACCAAGGGCCATTTTCCAGCCAAACATCTATTTTCTAGCTTCTGCTACAGTGTCTTAAAAAATGTAGCAAGATTCTCTCTCTCTCTACCTCTTCTCAAATGCAAAGAAAACCCACTTACTCCAACTTGGCTCCATGTTTTAAAAATTTAAATAAATAGGAACCTTTTAATGACGATTAAAAATTAAATATAAATTAATACAATAGAGTTCATTCCTGGAAAAATCACAGATGGAAAAGTGACACTTTTAGCTAATTATGCACAACTGAGCACAATAAACTTAGAATAGAAATATTTAGGCCAGGGGTTCTCAAACTGTGGGTTGCAACCCCACGGGGGGTCATGAGCAACTTAAAAGGGGGTCATGTTGGGGAGCGGTGTGGTGGGGGCATGCTGGGGAGGGGTGTGGCGCTGACACGAAGAGGGCATCATTGGCACGTGCCTAAGGGTGCCATCACTCCACGCTGCCGGCTTTGCATCTGTCTGCTCACTACCCCACAACCCACTCCGTGCTGAAGAGCAGCTTGTCTGGGGCACGCGGGATCTGTGCGCTGCCCGGGCTTGGCTGCCCAGCACCAAATTTCATTGCCTTTCATTTCTCCTACATACTCCTAATGAAATCAACAGCTTTAATCATGGGGGGGGGTGTTGTGTAAATGTATATATTATTTTACAAGGTCATGATATCACAAAGTTTGAGAACCCCTGATTTAGGCAATTTTAACAACATCTTTGCATGATTTGCAAAGTATGTTGCACAAAGGAACCCTGTCGTTGCTGAAGTATCCGGGCAATACTGCAATATACATATTGAGAAATGAATATAATTTATTCTTAGTTTATCAACAGCAATGAATGAGAATAAAACTGCTTGTGGCTATTGTTCCAGCTCTAATCAAATCAGCAGATACTGTAATCTACAGCTAATAGGGTTCTAATTTGCCCATTTATGGCCCAAAAGGACATTTGCACAGGTTGCTGTTGTAATAAACCAAAGAGATCAGCAGTTTATCAACCTGCCGGTTAACTCTACCAGAGAGCATAATTACCACTAGATTCTTTTGATTCTGGTATCCTGCAGAAGGTCTTGTGCCCTCTTGTGGACAGAAGTACGTGGAATTCAAAGTTACATCAGCTCATTTTAAGTGATTTAAATCTTTTTAGTATTCAGCATGTTTCCATCTGCTCTTCACAGTTTCACAATAGTAAATTAGATTTCTTGATCAAATTTAATTTATATATATTCATTTCAAGCAGATAGGTGGTAATTCATTAATTCACTTGAATTAGGGAATTAAAAAATCCCACCTCCCTGTTACAAATGATTGATTCGTTCAATCATATATTTCCCAATAAGGCAGCTGAATTGCAAATTTGATATGCACAGCATGAGCCTCTTTGGTCAAGGGAGTACATTCTATTGATGAAGAATTAATGGAATTTAGCTCAAGCACATTGCTACCATGCCATCTTCCTCATCCTTACATAGAGCACTTGTATTTGCCAGGGGCTTTGAACCTCTTCCAAAGCAGCTCTGGATTTTGTTTAAGTCTGACGGATAAAACTGCCAACAGCTGGCTCATTGCACAGATTCCATCTGCAAACCTGTGTCTTTTTCATTGTCTTGTGCTTCTGGGAGTTGAAAGAAAAGATGCGATGAGACTGCAACATTGCATTGTATATGTATGGGGTGTGGGAGGGTGGCAGGAGACACTGGAAAATGCAGGAGCTTGCTAATGATATACAGGACCTGATTTGTCTACTGGTGACACAAGGTGAAGAAAAGCAGTGAATTGAGGCCATCAGGTCTGGCACCTTGAGATAGCCATCTTCAACCCCACATAGTTAGCAGTGCCCAAAAGATGTGCTACCTGAGGGTTCAGATCACTCTAAGCAAAATAGTTCTTGTGGTTTCAATTCAGTGGGTAGGTCTTTATACCATGCAGCTCAGCGTCCTTTTTCCAGGCCTAAGACTAAGTGGGGAAGGAGACTGCGAAATTATCTTGCACTGAGGCATGCTCCTGCCAGAAGCCAGGGTCTACAGCAGGAAAGGCTTCAATTTTCAGGACCATGACACCAATCCTTAATTCACCGATACAAAGATCTTGTGCTGTGCATGTAGAGCTGCAAATGACAAGGTGAAGCCATGCATAAAAATCAGTTTACAGTTACGACAGCATAGGGGGAGATTAAAGAGAGTGAGAGACAGACAGAGACATTTTAGTTTGGAGCCAGACAGGGCAGGAGACCACCTCTTTCAGAAAGGTATAAGCTAAGAACACAAGACTTGTGTCCTGTTAGGTTACGGGAGCACTTCTGATCAAAGATAAATACCTGTCTTTATATATATCTTAGGAGATAGGACAGACCTTTAAATGTTAAATTTGTTATTAGCTCAGCTGGATAAGTTAAAAAAGCACAAGCTTCTGAAGGCAACAGCCTACTCTGTCAGATGCCGTGAACGGACTGGTCGTAGCATCTAATAAAGTAGGCTGTTGCCTACAAAAGCTTATACCTGTCTGCACACGATGGTCTCTGTGGTGCCATCCTGTCTTTGCCAGTAGCATAAAGCAGGAATATAAGGGGAACCAAAAATCAATAAAAAAAGAGGATCATTGTCTAGCAAAAGTTTTTATAATGGAAAGGGTTCTCTTACAGTAAAGTAGAGAAGCGCCAGGCAAGACTAGGGCTCAGTGATGCCAGGCACTATGTATACACCTAGTAAGGAACAGAGTGTGTCCCAAAGAGCTTACAATCTTAACGTGAGACAGACAAGGCAGTATTCGTATCCCCATTTTACTCATAGGGAAATGAGGCACAGAGAGTGTGAATGACTTTCCCAAGACCATACAGAAAAATTGCGGCTGACCTAGGCAGGGATCCCTTAAATCATAATCAAATCTCTTAATTCTTTTCTGTTGTTTTTAATAAAATGACAGATTTGCATTGCTGAACCAGAAACTCAGGCAGTTACTTACTGCCAGGCTGTTTCTGTGATTGATTCCCAGGGCTGTTAAAATATCACCCAGAAAAATCCTTGCCTCCTGCGTGTTTCCAGGACCATCACAGCTACAGCATCACTCCATTTTTTATTCCCTGCTTTTTAACTGGCAACACTCTCTCTGACAGCTCATTGCAGCCTATTTCTCAAAATCAAGAGCTGAGTGTTTTATTCACAGTAACTATTTTATTCAATATATTGACTCTCTCTTTTTTTGTAGGGCGAAGAGCAAAATTGGAGTAATTCTTGTGCATTTGCTCTCTGAATGGCAGGCTCAGTGGCTACAGATGAAA